AATATCCTGATTTCGGTTGTCACGCGCTATGATTTGTGTATTATACATATTTTGTATGTATGTTTTCATTGATTCGAATTGCAATATTTCTCTAGTATATATTTGAGACTATATTGTAATTTATCGTAGGTATAGTAATTAATTATTTTAAAAACGCAATTATGTTTTCGATAGTATTATTAACAGCAGGCTGGCCCGTGATTTTTCTGCAATATCGTCACAATACTGATTACCTACGTCATACGTGTCAGTGTTTCATATATGAATGTGTTTGAATATGTTTTTGGTCAACAATAAATACAATTATTATAAATCGGTAAACTACCAAAGTAGTCACAAAATTAAACTTGCAAACATTTTGTTTTGCCGGGTTACATTAAACACCCTTTACGCATTTTGCAAACAGTTTCAGACAGACACACATTATTAGTTTGTTATATTTTGTAGAGCTCAAGTTCACTCGTCACTACGTCACACCTTATGATGCATTCAGAAACAAATATAATTCAGTTACATAAAATCCTTTTTTCTGTTCCGTGCTTTATTGTTTATAAATAAATAGCTTATTCTAATATGAGTTATATTTTTCTTATTCGTCGGCCAATTCTACCAGGAATATAAAGATAACATTGAAATAAAAAGATAAGTAAATTTTTGTACATTTTAGTGTTCTAGATATTGTGTTCCGAACGCAACCCTATTCATATAGAATTGAAGGAAGATTTTTATATATTATATTGTATAGTACCTGGATGACCGAGCATTTCTCGGTATTTTTTTTTTTTTTGGAAATCGTGTGTTTTGGAAGTTATATTTAGATTAAAAATACATACTGATAAAATATTATGAAGAATATTTTTGATCTTACTGACATAATAGAAAAAAAAACTGAACTGGTTATTAAAATGAAAAATCATGAGTGCAATAAAATTTTCGTATTTTTAAAAAAAATACTACAAAAAGGGCTCGAAATAATAGATTTTCTCACAAAAGAAGGGAACTTGAAAAAAAAAGGGAAAAAAGTCAATCCTAAGACAAGACGCGAACCATGGAACTACGATTTCGCGACAGTGCGTTATCCACTTGAGCTATTACGACCATTATTATAGTGTTAAAATTTACCTTCTTATATTGTAGCAGTTTTTCATTGCCTGAAAAAGGGGATAAAACGACATTTTATGAAAATCGTTGGAGCCGTTTCCGAGATTCCGATTATATATATATACAAGAATTGCTCGTAGGTATAGGATTTATATTTTTGTTTTACTAAAAGCTTTTGTTGAGTGCTTCGAAATTAGGAAATATTATTTTCAAACTTCCCGGTTATTATCACAAAATAAATCGTGTTATAGATTTGTTGTTATCTCTTGTTTGTGAATTATAGTTTCTTACGTGTTGGTTATGAAATGTCTAATTATTGTAATAATTGGTACTGTTACAAATCATCAGTGTTATTAGTTTTGAGTGAATAGGCATGTATCAGTATAATTATGTTGCTTCAAAACAGAAGGTTTTGATAAAAAATTCAATAGTGTAATGTAATAAAATAAAACTGCGTTATATTGTAATCAATGTTGACATAATTTATTTCCCAAAGTTATAAATCAATTAAATAGTTAACGCCAACAAATATAAATTTTATTTTTATAACAATCGTACATAGCGTTTTGTAGTTCTGCCTACCCAATCTACACATACAGAAAAATTAAAACTTGTTTTTTTACATACACGCCATCTAGTGTTCTATCTTCGTAAACGCAGGGATACGTCTATGTGTGTGTAAACAACACTATATTCAATGACAGATGTTATAATCAAAATTAATGTCGAATTGGGTTGATTTTGAGGCAATGATATGACCCATTCCAATAAAATGTAATATCCGATAACCGCTAAGTCTACTCCTACGACTTAATAATTTTCCAATTACACAAAACTCCAAATAAACTAAAAATTTTGACTTCAGCGCCATCTTGCGGGAGAATGGCTGGGAACAGTCCGTAGGTTTCACCTTAAAGGAGACGGGGACTTCTGGGCCCAATTCGTAATAAGTTGATGGTTAAGTGGATGGATATGGTTTAAAAAGTCGTTATATTTTTCTATTTCAAAATATAAAAAATAAGCCCAATTCGCAATCTGAAAATTTATATATAGAAAAAAAGTTTATATCACGAATAAAATAGGAAATCGATTACTTTAATCGCTTAATGTAAATAAGTTTTAACAATTAAATATAAAAATAAGTTAAACCATTGATTAAAAATACTTTTACGGATTTTGTCGCATTTAATTTACATGATTATTAATTCCCGACGTTTCGAATGTTTTTCAGCACCCATAGTCACGGTTGACTACGTTGATTGAAGTCACAATGTCAGTGTTAACCCGGTACCTTCAGCTTTTCTATTATTACTTATGATCCATCTACGCAGAATGAACTTACTGTGTCTTGAAGTCCTGCAGTGGTATGCTTGTATGCTTTGGTTCAGTTTTATTATTTTTAAAATCACTCAACGTGTTTTACGGCGCCTATTTCTAGGTTATATGTACTAAATTATTTAAGACAAAGTAGGTAGTTGAGGTTTTAAATACTGCAGTTTCATCAACTACTCTAGTCACCACAAATATTAAATTTCTCAACTAAGCACACTTTACTCACTCGACAACTGCTAAGTTCATTTCATAACCCTCTAGCTACTCCAGCGCTGTTGTGGAGAAATTTTTAACTGTTATTTACTGCTTAAATATGGACACATTTTCAACTATTCTCCTATGTGAGGTTGTCCTCCTTACCTGTATACTCCATGACGTGTACGTCTCGAGTGTGTTTATTTATATTCCTCGACTACTGCTTTCTTTCAACGGACTTCTGAACTTACTTAATTTCTGCAAACCTTACTATTGTTAGATTATCGGTGTCCGGTATGACGAGTAATCATTTGACTTTGGCTCGTTATTGTGGGTTTTGTGTTTATTATTAGGCTGATTTTTTTAATTTTATTTTAAACATCACTTCCTAACCTCTCACTCAATGTAATACAAATAAATTAAACAACTGTCGAATAAAACAAAATAGCAACCGCACTTCAAAAGTCAGCTGTTTCGTATACATTGTTGCCAACATATTGCATAACCTCACATTTACTAAATCTCTTATAACTCTGCTCTCAGATTGCCAAAATCCACAGAATTTTCAATGTTGTTTTGAATTTTGATAATATATAAGCTATTAATTGACACCATTTTCAACTTTTTACAATCTGGGCCCAAGATGTATTAAAGCGTTATAGTCCCCTTTGTTCTTTTTGGAAAGTATAATTGTCATGTATATTTTTTATGGAAATTAAAGTTATGATGCAAAATATGGAAATGTAATAACAAAAATTACACGCGAAAATAAGAGGCTTTTGCGCCTGGCTTACTTCACGGTTTAGCTTGATAGTACTTAAGAAAATCGATTAATTTGCAACTTTACCCGTCACGCACGATTTTATCTGAGTAGGCTCAACAGTATGTTGGGCCGACACAGTAAAATGTCCCTTCGAAACAAGCGTACCCTCTACAAGGTATGTATACGACCAGTCATGTCCTACGCGGGCCCCGTCTTTGCCCACGCAAACCCTAACATTTTAAATGAACTCCAAATAGTTCAGAACCTATTCTGTCGTCGAGCTGCGAACGCACCGTGGTACGTTCGTAATGCCGACCTTCATCGGGACTTAGAGCTCCCAACAATTCAACAATTTCTTAAAAAACTCTCTGAGAACTTCTTCAAAGCCTCAGAGTCGCACCCAAACCATTTAATTCGTGAGGCAGCTTCTTATGCAGCCCCACCCCCTCTCGCTATCGTGTCCGCAGGCCGAGAAACTCTCTCTCGGACCCGCCTAATAAACTTTCAAACGACCTGAACTGTCTCCTGGCGGCTCAGGCCAACTCTAATTAAATAAAATTATTGTAATATCTGACATTAATTTGCCTTCGTAGGCACTCCCTCAGCGGCACTTAGCCGCCTGCGCCCTCTTTTCCCAAAAGAGGGTCGCTCATGATAAGGCACAATAGAGCTTAATCAGCCGGTTGCCTGTCCCCAAAGGCGGTTTTTAGGGGGTATCACTTAGGGTCCCCGGTAGGACAGTGAGTCCCCCATAACCACGATAGACCGGCTATCGTGGTATGCGTAATGCATTTTCCGCCTCCCTACGTACAGGGTAGCCCTTTAATTGCTTCGGGCGCAAAAAAAAAAAAAAATTTGCAATTTGTTCAGGGCCAGCTACCGTTCTAAGGTATAATCAAGAAAGAAACCGATTAGGGAAAAGTAACATAAAATTAAACTGAAAGTAGTTATCATATTTTCTAGGAGCAGTTATAAGTAATTGCTGTTTTATTTACCAGTGTCGACCCCAGTATAAGTATGGAATTAAAAGATGATATACAGTCCAATAAAATCGTGTCCAACGGGACGGAACACTGGACCCGTAATCTCAAGCGTCAACCACGTTTTCTTTTGAGACCGAGAGGTTTTTGTTTCTGAATTAAACGTCTTATCAGGGGTCACGACCACCGCATTGCTTCCCGAAGCCGACAAGGTATGGCATAGGCAAGGGGGCCAGTACTTGGTAAATCGCTGTTAGGCGTGAGATAAAGAAGCAAAACCTCGTTCCTTTTTAAAACTCGATTAAGAATCGAAATACAGATATAATGTCGCCTTTAAGAATTAACATTAAATGTCACGATAACAGTAAAAAAAGGTCTCCTGTTCCTTACACTAACCATATGAAGCACAACTGCTATTTTATGCCGGTATTCTGTGCGAGCGTAGTGTACTCCAGCCGACCAATTCGTGCTGCAAGTAGATTAATGGCAGACAAAGACAAAACGCCTACTCATAATACTGAACACAGCAGGAACAGCTTCTTTACGCCAGTAATGCATTTAGAGTGTGGTATTAAATTATATCATTGATAAAAAAATTAAATTTTTAATATAAATATCAAAAGAGTCACCTGATCCTCTCTCCTCTTCAACTCACTCTGAACCTCCTCCAGCTCTTCTTGTCCCTCATTAGGATCCATCTTCCACCCGTCCCTTAGCATCTTTAAACCGAAGATCGCGAACAATGCGGCGCTTATGTAGTGCGTGTACACCCTGGGTATGACTGTCGCTACCCAGCCGAAAGCGGCTGATAATATCGTCATGAACACCAAGGCGGATATAGCACCAGCGAACACTATTATCCGGGGATGCTTCATCGCCATAATGGCTGCGATGAAGAAAGTCTTGTCTCCAAGCTCTGAGACAATCACCACGGAAAGCGCCGCTACGAAACCCTGCCAGAAGCTGCCTTTGACCGCTGCTCGCTGTAAAGAAAAAAATATTTCCTTTATTTTTATAAAATATAATTTGTACTATTAGGTAACTTTACGGCCGTTGACCACTGTCGCCTTGTTATTAAAATTATGCTTCTAATTTGATCCAACTTCTTAGTGAAAATCAAAGTCAATGCGGTTAATTACTAATTCTAGACCTGACCCAAATCTGAGAACATTATAATTATTGCAGATGAATTGTTTCAATTTGAAATTATCAATAAATATTTATAATTTACTAGGGACACGCCCCGGCTTCGTACGGTTGTTTATAAAAAAAAAGAAGTGCGCTTAGCCAAAAAACATGATTAATATTTTATTTATAGTGTTACTGCCAAAATAATTAAAAGTTTAGCTGCGGCTGCGAGTCATTTTTTCGGTTGTACGTAAGTTTTAAAGTTTGATATCTTCTAAAGTATGATAAGATTAATATAATGTAAAAGACAACAATTATAATCTACATTAAATACATGCCCAAGGTTACTAACATATTTGAATAAGGGTTAATATTGAATATACAACAGTTCAGTTAATATTGAATAACAGCAAAAAGCGTCGCAAATAACGTAATATTTTTAGTCGACATTTAAAAACAAAACTCTTACTATGATTCAAATAAAACTAGTTTTTACGCATTTTATCAAGTTTATTAACTTATTTTATAGTTACGACGTTTCTTCGTCGAACTAAAGTGTTCGACATCTCAATGTCGTAGTTGCCCACGACTACCTTCAGATTGACTATATGACACTATTCCGATGATATCCCGGACGTCAGTCTAAGAGAGATTAGAATGGCTCTCCAGCGCCTTAAAAACGGCAGGGCCCCAGGCGAGGATGGAATTACAGCGGAGCTTCTGAAAGCGGGTGGAACACCGGTACTTGAAGTCCTTCAGAAGCTCTTCAATTCCGTCCTCCATGGTGGCACTACTCCAGAGGCGTGGAGCAGAAGTGCGGTGGTCTTGTTCTTTAAGAAAGGCGACAACGCTCTCTTGAAGAACTACAGACCGATTTCCCTTCTGAGCCGCGTCTACGTGCTGTTTTCGTGCTACGTGCCACTTTGCCTGGCGTATGTGGACTATGAGAAAGCCTTTGATTCCGTCGAAATTTGGGCGGTGCTGCAGTCCCTTCAGCGGTGCCAAGTTGACTGTCGGTATATCGAAGTGCTGAAGTGTTTGTACAGTAGGGCTACGATGGCTATCCGAGTACAGAACCAGAGCTCGAAACCTATCCAACTGCAGAGAGGTGTAAGACAGGGTGACGTTATATCCCCGAAACTCTTCACCGCTGCTTTGGAAGACGTTTTCAAGCTACTGGACTGGAAAGGATACGGTATTAACATCAATGGCGAGTACATCACTCACCTTCGATTTGCCGACGATATAGTCCTTATGGCAGAATCGCTGGAGGACTTAAGTACTATGCTCAATGACCTCAATAGTGCCTCCCAACGGATAGGTCTTAAGATGAACATGGACAAAACAAAGATTATGTTTAATGTCCATGTCACACCTATGCCGGTAGTTGTTGGGAGCACTATGCTCGAAGTTGTTGACGAGTACGTTTACCTGGGACAAATATTCCGACTAGGTAAGTCCAACTTCGACCGAGAGGTCAATCGACGGATTCAACTCGGCTGGGCAGCGTTCGGGAAATTACGACATATCTTCTCGTCAGGTATACCTCAATCTCTGAAAACTAAAGTGTACAACCAGTGCGTGTTGCCAGTGATACTTACGGATCAGAGACGTGGTCCTTCACTGCTGGCCGTATGAGGACGCTCAAGGTCGCTCAGCGAGCTATGGAGAGGGCTATGCTCGGAGTTTCTCTGCGTGATAGACTCAGAAATGAGGATATCCGCAGTAAAACCAGAGTGACCGACATAGCCCAACGGATTAGTAAGCTGAAGTGGCAATGGGCCGGCCATATAGCTCGAAGAACCGATAACCGATGGGGAAGAAAGGTTCTCGAGTGGCAGCCTCGTACCGGTAGGCGTAGTGTAGGGCGACCCCCCACTAGATGGAGTGACGACCTGGTAAGATATGCAGGAAGTCGATGGATGCAGGTGGCTCAGGACCGTGCTTTGTGGCATTACTTGGGGGAGGCCTATGTTCAGCAGTAGACTTGTGAAGGGCTGTGATGATGATGATGATGACCTTCAGATTAAAATTATTAATATATGGTTCGATGTACGCAATACGAACTTATAGTATTTTGAAGTCTTGCAGTTGTATGCTTGGGTTGGGATTTAATTTTATTAATTACAGAATTCCAAGCAGATGGTGGCCACCCAGCCATCGTCTCTATTGAAATTAGGATGTTTTTTGATTTCAATATCCTCGCGAATCATCCTTGGAAGTAATCGTTGTTCTTTAGCGAGGAATTGCGGTCCATCAAATCTTATGTAAGTAGTGACGAGGGCGATCCTATATGTGTTCACAGACTGTTTGTTATATGCCACCGCGAAGTTTTCTTTAGATTTTTTTGGAGGTCTACAATTTTATAGTACATCATTTTGATGTATCTTTTAAGGTTAAGATTCCGTAAGCCATTAAAATGATTTTTTGCCGACTTAGTTACAAAAAATATATTTTTCTTCTTACACAAGCTCTTAATCAGGATATATTTTATGTATAAACTTTGAGTGAAAAAATATCTAACTGACTGTGAAAACCGCATCAACATTTGTTGCGTGGTTTAGGAAAAGATTGCAGATAAACAGAAAAACAGAGGCGAAATGCGACTTTGTTTTAATACTATGTACAGAAAAGATGAATAATAATTTGATAATTTTTCAGGTTTACGGTTGAAATATTTGTTAATGGATGATTTCAAACTACGTTGTCGATGTACCAATGCTACATACGTATATACATATATATCTCCAAATGACTGCTATCGGGTGATCGGGGTATCATTCCTGGAAAGGTCTATGTAAAATTAAAATGGATGTTAATTTTGACATGTAATAACCAAAAAAATCAACATTTTTATAGAAGGTTAACAAACGAAGGCACAGTCCACCTGACGGTAAGAGGACGCTGAGACCCATAAACACCTATATCTATCCTAAATTAAGAATCAAAATGCAGATGTGTTGTCACCCTGAGAACTTAGATGGTGGCCTCGTTACCAGTTAAAAAAAGCTGCTTATTTACGCTGGCATTTAGTTAAAGCGTGGTCCTTCCCCGGGCGGGCCGACCCGTTCGTTCTGCAAAGCTGGTGGCTTAAAAGGGTCGACTTAAAAGAACTAAAAAGAATTTAAAAAAAAATCCGAAGTCGATGCTTAGACCTAGTGTACAGAAAAATTAAAGCCCCGACTTGAGAATGTGAAATTATTTAATTATTTTAAGTTCTTCGAAGTCGACTTTAATTTTTTTGTTTTTTTTTTAATAAGAGTGTGAAAAGAATTTAAAAAAAAATCAGAAGTCGATGCTAAGGCCGCGTTTCCACCTGCAAGAAAACTTCTGCAAGAAGTGTCCGACAGTCTCTCAGACTCAGACAGTAACTTGCAGGTGTTACTACGTAGCAAGCGCTCTCGCGACGCGACGGTTTGTCAAGTGTTTCCTGCGAGTAGTTGTGAATGCAAAAAGTCTAAACATGTTCACATCGACTCGCGACAGATCTCGCTGCTTATCGGTCTAGTTTCGTATATCTCACTAGAAATAAACTCAATTTAAAGTGGCAATACAGAGTAATTCATTATTGATGAGCACCTGTGTCTTTCTGGAATGCATTAGATATATTATGTATATCCCATATTACAGGCCGACTTTTTCGCGATTCATATCGGTGTTCAGGTTGGAAATGAAAGGAAAGTAGGTGTTGGCAATTTAGTTAATTTTCTTTTCGGTAGAAAGCGCTTTCATATTGCGATAAATCGAGATATCAGCAAGCCTGCATCCTGGTTCACAAATATATTTAAGTATATTAGGTTTCTATTATAACGCACTATTATATTATTTCATTATTACATAATTCATGCGCACATCTTAAAACTATTTTAGACTAAACTTATTTTAATAAATAACTTTCTTGCGTGCGTCATTCACTGACGCAAATTGCACACAATATTTTTAAAATGATTGAAAGATTGACTCAGTGTTGTACACCAAAAAATGAACGCGTTTTTGAGAAGACAACCGCTTACTTGGTGTTAGGCCTGTCTTTCATCCCGGGAGTCCATCTATGTTAGTACTATCCTGTCATCTATTTTTTTATAGGATAAAAGGGTGACAAACGAGCACACAATCCACCTGATGGTAAGTAGTTGCTGTGGCCCAAAGACATCTACATTTATCCTCGATTACGGATCAAAAAGCAGATGCATTGCATGTACCCGTGAGGACTAACATGGAACGCCTCGTTTCCAGTAAAAAGGGTCTCCGCTTCTCTACACTCACCATACGAAACACAGCAGCAGTAAGCTGGTATTCTATGAGAGCGTAGTCCTGCCCCGCTCGAGTGGAACTATTTGTGCTAAAACTATACTACTAATATAGCTGCAACATGGCTCTACCACCTAAAAATCTATTCCTGTCGAGTTTAACATTAGAGCATCCTTCTCAATTTAGTTACCCTCTCAGAAGTGAGATGGTCCGTGTCGATGAGCGGTCCTAATCAAGAAGTAAATTATATCGGCAGTATAAAATACAAATCAATAAACCTATCAATACTTATGCCCGATTTTATCAAATACTTGCCACATATCACGTTCGATCGAACACTATAGATATGATAATACTTAGCTACCTTTGATGCACTTTACGCTTTATGACGCATTATATGAATGATTTTTATTACAAAGGTAAGGCATAATTTTTTATTAAAAATATGCTTATCCTTTTCAGTTTTACATTTATTTATTTGAATAAAGTACTGTTTTTACTAACTGATATAACCCGATGATGCTCTAAGGCGAAGCCGGTCGGTTGAAATATACAATATGCAAAAAAAACCTTTCAAATCCGAATGGGGCACAAGAGCTATGTA